GCCCAGGCGCGGTTTTTCCTTCCGTCGGAGCCTCTAGGCACCCCTAGTGCGCTGGGTTCGGCCTGGAATTGTTGGGCCAAAATATGGGCCGAGCCGGCGCATTTCGGCGTTCTGGGGGCGCAACTGGGGCATTTTTTCGGCGTCGGCGCAAAAAAACACGCCTTGGGGGCCTGTTGAGGGCGTGAGTGGAGATGCTCTAAGTAGCATTCAGATGCAAACAAACTACTCCAATGTAATTCGGTGAAAACATATTTTCAAGCGAACGTAGATACCTTAGCTTAGCAGCATCTTCCTCACTCAAAGCATGGATGTTATTCTCCACAGGCCCAGTTTCCTGTACAGAAGTTTAGAACAATTGGTCATTGACTAACACATGGTTGAGTTTTTTGCTCTACGCAAGGGAAAAGAAGTACCTGTGCGCTATCGTTTGGAAATAAGGGCTTGCGCAGCTGAGTACTGGCCACCTCATGTTTTGTCAGCCCCCTCTTATTGCCACTGCAAATGATGTAATTAGCAAGGTAAAGGTTGCGGTTGTAAAATCAATTGCAAGCAAAACTTAGACATATTAACTGGAACCATGTGGACAACATAGCAGCAGCTCCACCTTTTGTTCACAGAGTCTAGGGAAGCACTAGTTGATTTGCCTTTAGTAGTGTTAGGGGCCTGGCATATATCAGGGTGAAGGATGAGGAGCATAGTACAGTCACAACAAAGCAAAGCAGCAGAGACAAAAAACAATTATCATAGAAGGCGCACCTTTGATTGTGTCTCTATGTGTGCTTGCTCAACATCTTGGCTGATCATGAGAAGTGGTGGAACGGATCCAGCGGGCAGTACCTTGGACGAAAAGGAAGCAGTATGAGTAGACCGAGAATCTGTATTACTTCCAAACTGGCCAGATGAATCTACCTTGCGATACAGAACTGCATTGCGTAGGCATCTTTCAGTGGGGACATCTATCCTATTGACTTGAAATGAGGTCTCCTTTGACTCAGGCAGGAAAGTCTTTGGGGAGATAGAGACCACAAATCTGTACTTCTGCCCAAACAACCCAACTATTTCTTGTTGAACAGTGTCATCTACGTGGGCCACACCAACTATTTCTTCAAGAGGAATACGACTGGACTTTCCACCATGAAAGAAAGGTAATCAGAGATTTACCAACAATTTCCTTCCCTGCTCTATCGAAGAAAACAAACTCAACCCCTTACATGCCATCAGTCACCGCGAAGCAGATGCGATACCTACAACAAAGCATGCATCAGCTAGAAGGTAAATCAATATTAACTGTAGAAGGACACGACATCAACAAAGAAGTACCTTGGCATTGCATCCGTGCAAGAATAACCTGGATCGACACACTTGTATGTAGTTCCATATAACTTCCTACCTCGCACAAGAAGCTCGCCCTCGCAGCAAAGAAACCATGGCAGGCTCGTCAAGATAAGTCGCCTCGCGCGCCCATGCATGAACCTCATAACCAGCGTCTTTGTCTCTTGCAATTTCCCTCGGGCAAGGAAACTTCCCTTTCAGTCCTTCCGGAGCCGCTTGCGCGCCAAAAGGGACCTCCCTGAAGGAAATATGCCCTAGAGGCAATAATAAAGTTATTATTTATTTCCTTATAATCATGATAAAAGGTTTATTATTCATGCTAGAATTGTATTAACCGGAAACATAATACATGTGTGAATACATAGACAAACAAAGTGTCACTGTATGCCTCTACTTGACTAGCTCGTTAATCAAAGATGGTTATGTTTCCTAACCATGAACAATGAGTTGTTATTTGATTAACGGGATCACATCATTAAGAGAATGATCTGATTGACATG